GCTTTCCTTTCCAAGCTTGGGTTGAGTCCCAGGCTTGAAATCTTGCTGTTTTGATTGGTGGAGCCCATCCACCAATCAGGAGGCAGCAAAAGGAGTTAAGCCATGCCCCTTTCCTGAGGGGAGGGGGAGAGGAGCTCTCCCCGCTCCCCCAGACCTGATTGAAGAGTGAAACACTCAGGTCCGGAAGACTTCAGGGGTGGAGCCCTGGAGAGTATAAAAGGAGCTGCGTGCCCAGCATGAGGGGAACACATCTGGGAAGGAGAGAAGAGAAGAGCGGGGCTTCAGAGAGCTGAGGAGAGCCTCTCAGCAGGGCAAAGCAGTAGCCCAGAAGCACCCCTGGAGACTTCCATCAGCAGGGAACAGCAGACAGCTCCAGCAGCTAGGCTGTCGGTGTGCAGCACAGCACACGGCATCCAGATCCTGGGAGTTACGTGAGGCAGCTCGGGTCTGCAACCTCTGGCGTGCTGCCAGAGACACGTGCACAGGCCGGTGCATGGAGTAGTACCTTTGGAGCACTTGGGCGGCTCAGGTCCTCAACCCCCAGAACAAGCACAGAGGGTCACTGCACAGAGGGTCCAGGAGCAGACAGAGCCTGGTGCTGCATGAGGGAGCCCAGGTCTCCGACCCATAGCAAAAGGTTGAGTCCAGGGAGCCAGACGGTGCTTGGGCTACTGAGCCAACAGAGACGGCTGAACCAGAGACCCCAGGAGCCTAGCACAGAGGAGCCCTGTTCCAGGTGACAGCGACCCCTCACCCTGAAGCCTCCTGCAGGTGAAAGAGCAGCTTGGCACAGAGGACAAGGGCCGCCCTCCAGGCCTGAGTTGCAGGGAAAAGAGGATTCCCACAGGGGAAGGAGGGAGTCCCCCCCTGATTAGTTAAGGGCTCCTGAAAGTGGAGGTCCCACTGGGAGGGCCCCTCTGAAGTTACCAGCTTCCTTGTAGGGCACGGGGACAGCCCAAGGGCATTGGGGTTTCCCCTTGGGATTAAGTTTATCTTTGGGGTTCTTGCACCATAAGTTGTGTGATGGCATGCCTTATATTTTGTGAACTCTCATGTTTGTAAATGAGTAGAGTCCTAGGGCTCTGCTGGGACCTCCTTTTGCTATTCTTTCATCTGTTGCTTATTTGTATTTATTTGTGGCTTATTTATTGTTCAGCCATACTTATCAACAGTTTATCTGTTGGCTATCTATGTTTATTTTGGGATTTATCTGTTTCAGATCAGATACTTATCGGTATCTAGAGCACTGGTATATGGTTTTGTAGCATTTACCCAGAGGATATTTATGTTATTTGTGTTTAGATATCCTATGTGTGTGTGTGTGTGTGTGTGTGTGTGTGTTTATATTGATGTTTCTTTTCCTTGTGATAAGTTAATATAAATATAGTTGTATATAGTTAAGTCCCCTGACTGTCCTGGCCTGGTTCTATAGGGACAGAGGGAAACTGAGCGGTCTGCAGTTCCCCCACAGCACACCTGCCAGCTAACAACCCCCTTCAACTGGAGAAGGAGAGTATATACCCAAGTTACCTGGGCTACACAAGAATCTGTCCAATCCCTTGTGTGAAAAGCACGCTAATTCAAATCCAGCTGGTTTTGTTTACTGAGATGCTATGGTATATGGTCATTTCTAGGTATTCATATTAAGATAGAGATGTACTAACATATACCTTTCTTGCCAAGTTAATAAAATAGTGAATTAATTTGCTGCTACAATAACATTTATCACTTATTGTTTGGAATGCAACAATCTAGACAGTTTGACATGAGGCAAAAGTAGGGCGACCTTGGCTAGCTTCTAGTCAGCGTGTTGAATTTTGCATGGTGACACCATGACTACATAGAGTAACACAGATACAAGTCTGTTGACCTTTCTCACAGATATTTTGGGTCAAATCCTGTGTAGTTTACTTGGATAGGGTGTCCCAGTGAACTCAGTGGGTTAATTTACTGTGTATGAAATGCACAGCATTTTGCCCTCTGTGTGACATTTTTCAAGCTACTGAATTTCTTACTGTGCAATTTGAACATTTTTGGTAAGTCTAAGATTCCTTGAGTCCTTTCTTCTTTATAGTGTGTTTAACCTGAAGTAATCTTTTTCATCTGTAGCAAAGTATAGCCTAGTTAGTGATTAACTATAATAAATATGTGCAAATAGCAGAAGAGAGGATATAGAAGACCTAAGTTACTGACTGTATAATATTTAAACTGACGATAAGCATAGTAAGGCGATCCTAAAAAATATTTCCTATGAACTCTGACATTTATAAAGGAATTAATTTTACACAAGAAGTAGTTGTTGTGGAACTGAAGTTGGCTCTAACTTTTCCTAAGATACAATTCATATGACATCCATTCAGCTTTTATATTACCACCAGCAGAGTCCAAATCTACAGTCTTTTTCATTTGAGCAGTCCATAAACACACAACTGATCCTGCTGAAGGTGCCAGATTTCCTTGGATGGTGATGAAGCACAGTTCACATAAATAAGAATTATAGTGTGGAACCTATTTTTCTGCCCTTCTCTGACATTTATTTCCGTGCCTTTTATTGTTTCTGTTCTTGAAAGAATAAGCCTAAGCTACATTTTGCTGTATAAAAAGGGAGAAATAATGGATAAAGACACCATGCATTCTCTGCATTTGTCCTATGTGCTAATAACGTATTCAGCTACTTCTTAAACAATTTCTTATATTAAAAGTATATAAGATGGAAATAGGATGATCTAAAATTAGTGGAAATGGAACATAAAGCACTTCCAAGTTAGGTGTGAACAAACCAGTGTTATCTGGTGGCTGTTTTTGTGATTTGGGGATTTTTTTTTTAAAGAAGAAAAGTAAAGTTTGTTCCTACAATCCTGTGTCATACAGTCAGAGGATTTGATAAGAATAGACTTTGTACTGAAATCCAGGGAATTGATTGAGGGGTAAAAGTGAATTGGTCTTGTGTGTATGTGGCATAATATTAAAAAAGATTAAAAAAAGAGAGCTAGCATTTTTAGATAAGGCTTTTTTTGCTGACATTGCCATTTAACAGGTAAGAGTATCTACTGGGTTAATGCATTATTTTATATATACACTCTGAAGACTCATGGTAATTCTGTTTTTACTGTTCCCTTATTGTGCATTTACAAGGAGGAAGGAAAAGAGTATTCACAGGCCCCAGAAGCAGTGCAGGAGCATGTTTAATTCCCCACATTCCTGTTTGTTTATTTTCATAAGGCCGAACTGTGAGCTAGGTTTTTGTAACACGTTAGTCAGAAAGCACAGGAAACAATTTTGCTGCTATGTTGGTGGGTGCCTAAGGTCACAGATGATTTCCTGTCTCTCCCACAAATGTTCATGTGGCCCAGAATTTACCCTGGAGGGGTAGCAGGGAGAGATAGTTAGCCGTGTTAGTCTGAAGTCAGTCAGAAGGCAGGGTAGACTTGCACCTTAGAGACAAACTAAATCAGAGATGTATAACAAAACCTTTCATAAGATGTGAAGGGACTGCAGCAAGCAGAGCTGCACAACACAACCCCCCCCCCCAACACACCCACACCCTACCATATACCCACACACCCCTTCCACAATATACAAGACTAAGAATATATGTTTGATTAATGCAATCACCTCTATATAGAGTAAGCAAACACAAATCATGACACAAATATTTTTATAATACAATTAAAATGTTATAGTAGGTGTTTGACTTTTAGTATATGATTTGGTTTTTTTCTGGTTCTAAGATAGCACCCCCCCCCCCCCCAAAAAAAAAGGAGTATTTCCAGGGGGCAAGGAGGAGGGACTTCTGGTGGCAAAGGTAAGGGTTTAGTGGAGCAGGAGTTCTGGTCCCAAGATGGCAACAAGTTTGCAGGGCATCTGCCAAGGGGTGGGACTACCCATGCAGACCTGGACAGCTCACCAAAACTTGTTAAGTGACCCTCCACCCAAAATAATTGCCTTCCCCTGTGCTACATGCACAAAGAAAAGGAGATCCCAAAGTTGCAACAGTTCACAGTGAGACCACAATAAACATACACTGTTACAACCAAACAACTACCTAACCATTAGAGCAGGGGAAGGCAAAGTTCCAGCCCACAGACCAGATCTGATCAAAAGTGGACTCTAGTTCCTAGAAGCCCCTGCCCATGTAGCTGGGGCTGGTTTCTATGGAGACCCCAGCAGCAGGCAGGGACAGGGTTTCCCTGGAGACCAGCCCCAGCAGTGCTGGCAAGGCGGGGGCTGCTCTGGGGCTGTTCTGGGCTCTTGCAGTGGTAACATCGTGGTCTTATACTGTTTTGAGCCCAGCCTATATTAAATGCATGCCCAAAAGCTGTCTTTAATAAGCCTTTGAATGGTAAGCATTTGGAAACTACAGGAGCTAGCTATTGCACTGTCTAGTGGTAATCAAGACCATGAGCACACATAGGAATAAGCCCAAGATTATAGTATTGAGAGGTCCAGCAATTTTCACAGATTCACTCTTTTTCTTGCACTATATTTGATCCTGCCAACAGTACTCTGGTTCACTGGCAGCAGGTGTGTAATGTTATTAAAAGGAAAAATAAGTATGGACTGTTTTTTTCAGTTTTAAACTCCTTTCTTCTGGTATAACTTTCATGGCTAGGTTAATTGCGGGTACAAATCCTACTGTGTATCAAATACTTACATTTAAGTAGTAGAATTTTAACCCCAACCTAACTGGATACAGCTGCATCCCCAGAATAAGCACCAGTGTACTTAAAGTGCCTAAATAAAGTGTACACCAATAATATAAAAGATTAAAAATACCTACAGGAATCATAGCCACAATAATAAAAATAATCTATTTTGGATTTCATTTGTGCATTTTTTGTTCCTTTGTTTGTTTGTTTTTTTTTATTACGTGGCCTAAATTTCCTGCTTTGGAATAGAGTTATTGATCTTTTAAATCCTGGAAGTCATTTAAAATCTGTAACACAAATGGAATTATCTTGTGTATTTTATATAGGGCTGATATTTTACCTATTTTGCAGGTTTTGTTGATCTTTGCAAAAGAAGACAACCAGAGTGATGGGTTCTGGTGGGCTTGTGATAGAGCTGGATACAGGTGTAATATTGCTCGAACACCAGAGTCAGCACTTGAATGCTTTCTTGATAAGCATCAGGAAATAATAGTGATAGATCACAGGAGCTCCCGATACTTTGATGCTGAGGCTATCTGCAGGTAACTTCGTGGACCTTGTGCCCCTTTTGAACCTAAAAATGCCTTGTAAAATACCACTCATGAGCATAAAGTGAATACATTATGACATTCTGAAAACAAGTTTAGAGAAGGGAGTAGGGGGCTGGAGATTACATTGCTCCATCATTAAAGAAAAAAATAAAAACTGCTTTGGTGGATAAGAGAACAGCAGAAACAAAGCTTTCAAATATTGTGCATGAAAACCATTCTACAGGCATCCAATATGAAAGATACATTATTTCTGGGGCTAAAATTTGACCTATAGAACTATAAATCTTGGGTCACAAACCTTCTTTAAAGCAGAGCTGCCATAGAAGTATGCAACACTGTAACCATTGCTTTCCTATTTACTCATGTTCTACTCCTCCTACAAAGGTTGGAGCTATGGGGTTTTATATTGTACTACCATTTCCACCACACTTCCATAATGGTGATTTTCCAAAACCTATGTCTATGTTAAGTGCAGAGAGCAGGATGCCCAACCAGAATGCCACAGGACCCTGGGGTGCCACAAAACCCTTTGAAGGGTGCAATGGGTGGATCTAGGGCTTTGAAAATTACAGTTCAGATGGTGTGGTACAACAACACATTTTTTTACCAGTTAAAGAAGAATTAAATGCTTGTCTAATACGCTAGGAGGCTAGCACCATGTCTTTCAGTTTAAGGTCAAAGCAAAAACAAATAAGATAGTTGGAAGGTGCACTGATTTGCTGGGTTACATATGAAGTTTTTAAAAGACATAACAAACTAGACAAAAGAAGTCAAAATAATCAAAAATCTTGTGTCATTAGTCCTGTAGTCATTGTAGTTAAATGTACCTCTCTTATTCAGATTCATAAGCAAAATCTAGTTTTCTTGGCATCTTGATAGTGCCTCCAATACTTCACTGTCAGTCACTTGCACACCTAAGTTCATATTACTACACCTGATTTAAGGCTTTTAGCTAGAGCTAAAAACAGTCTATGGGGTGGTTTAGATTAAACAGGAGAGAAATGTTCCAGACAGCAAAATTGTAGAAGAAAGGATAGTTTGAAGTGTGGAACATCAAGACTATTAAAAAGCATAGAGGACCGTTAACACCTGTGCAGTGGAGAGAGATTAGTAGGGATCAGAGACATGATAGTGAGCCACAAATCGATTGACTCCCTCAGCACTGCAGGAATCAAAGGGCATGCCACTGCTTTCCTTTGGATCTACTCCTGAAGCGTGTGTTGGAAGTGGGTAGGTAAGCACAGGTTCATCTCTGCCCCACTACTCCTCCCTCCCCCACTAGTTACACAGCGCAGAGGAGGTAAGCAGAGGATCATCTGACTGCGCCTTCCCCTTCTCCCCCAGGTAGGGAGGGCTGGATTGGGCCAACAGATCTGCCGCTCCCATGCCCAATCCCAAGTACACAGCACCCTCTCTGGCCAGTCCAGGATCTGTGCTGCAGGCAGCGCCTGCCCCAAAATGGCTGGGGAGGGAGCAGCATTACATGCATCATGAGATACATGTTTTGGACGAACTGGGGGATACCATATGTGGCTTGCATCCTAGACTGGTGGTGCAGAGGGCACTGCACATGGTGGGTCTCCTGAGCTCACTGCATGGGGCTGGTCTGGCACACTGCACTGTATGCTGGTCCACTCTAGAGCCAGTAGCAGAATTTGGAGTCAGACAAAGGAGCTCCCTAGGCTGAATCTGGCCTGCAAGCTGTACCTTTGACACCCCTGGTTTAAATTCTTCAAACATGTATGCCTATTGCCATGCCACCTTTTCAGTTGAATGTTTTGTTTGTTTTGTTTTTAAATCTTTCCTTAGGAAGTCAATCACTGTATCTTGCTTAATTTTATTCTCTGAGTTCCCTTCAGTTTGTCAGTGTCTCCTTGATAACATGATGCCCGTGTCTTCTCCTGAGAATAATTTAACAAAATGAAGGGTTTGAAACTTTGCAGAAAGCAAAGTATTGGAAACACATGGATACTTAATCTGTAAGAGAAAAGTATGTTCTGTATTCGGTGACAATTGAGGGCTAGCTCATTCCTCTCTATATTTCTGCACCAAGCAGAATAGCTTCTTGTAGGAGTAGTGCTGCTATTGACCATGCCTGCTGTATCTGCGTGCTAGACCAGAGGTGGGCAAAATATGGCCCGTGGGCCAGATCCAGATCCAGCCTGCAGAGGGGCTTTGTCCAGTCCATGACAGGCCCCTCGGTCCCACCTGGCCCAGGCACCATCCACCTGTGGCTCATCCTGCTGCCCCCTGGACATGTAGCAGGGCTTGTGTGGCTCTGCAGCTGGATTGTCTTTCTAACCAGCCCAGGTGGCAGCTCCTTCTGGATGCTGCCACCGCTGGCCTCAGCCCCATGATACCACCAGGGACCTTCATGCATAGCGCTGACCCACCCTGCCTTGCCCTGTGCCTGCTCTAGACTTGCCTGTACAGGCTCAGCAGCAGCAACAGTGGCAGTGCAGGATAGAAGCTGTTGCTCAGCACCAAGGAAAAGCGGCTCCTCCCCCTCACTGCTGCCAGGCACTTCCTGCTGCAGCCACCTGGAGCCTGCTCTGCACTGGCCTGCCCTACATGTCCGCTGCCATCACTGCCACCTCCGGGCTGCCCAGCAGTGGCAGCACAGAGCAGACACAGGGCAGCCCAGTACAGGCTTCAGGTGGTTGCAGTAGGAAGAGCTACCGAGGGGCAGGGCTACCCTTGTGGTCCTCAACAGGTCACCAAAACTCATTAAGCAGCCCTCCAGCCAAAATAATTGCCTGTTCCTATGCTAAACAATGTTTAGAAGTAGGAGGACTAGATAAGAGTTAACATTTCCTAGATTTACACAGATGCAGCACTGCTTTCACAGGTTTGGGGGCCTATACTGATCTTCATGCCAAAAAAAAGAGGGAACATGCATCAAACATCCATCCTTATGTGTACTCCAAACTAAGAAAGCAATAAAAGCTCAAAAAAAAAAGTTTGAATCTCCCAGGTTCAGGATTGTAGGATCTTTGGGGCTTGTTTTTCCGTTATGTGTAACAATAAAAATTCAAAGTCGTTTCAGTAAAGCATCATAGAATGTGCATGACTGTTTTTTTTCTCTTTTCAGATCAATCCGTGCTACTAAGCCATCAGGACACACTGTAATACTTGCTGTTGTTCCACACACGTAATTATCTCTCTCTGTTTTTATTATTTTGTGTTATATTGATTTTCTTATTATGTTTAACTGCCTATCATTATGCAGATATTATTAGTATCAGCCAACTGTTATCTCTAGTTACAGAGAATAGGACATGGATCAGTGGCTTGAAATTACCACAAAGTATGGATAACCAGGAAAAACTTGTTCACTGTTAGAACTTTTAGTTTGGATATCAGGAAAAACTTCACTGTTAAAACAGTGAGGCAGTGAAGGACTCTTCATCCTTGTTTAAGAAGCTGGACAGACATTGGTCAGGGATGGTTTAGAAGTCGCTGTGATTGTGTTCTTCTATGGGTATTTTCCATGTTGCTGGCTTTGTTCATTGCTACATGAGGCTGGGAGGCAATTTTTCCCCTCCTCCTGCTCCATGTGTTTGGGGCAGGGGGTGTTTTTTTGTTTTGTTTTTTTTTTTAAGGCTTCCTCAGAAGCACTGTGTGTAACCAGCAGCCAAAGCTGGGGATTTTGATTGGGGTGGTCCCAATGCTTCTGCTGGGACTTAAACTTGAAGGTACTTGGATGGAGGGTCTTGCCGCTCCTCTTAGGGCTGGACTGATCACTATATTTGGGGTCAAGAAGGAATTTTCTCTCATGGTCAGATTGGTATGAACTGTGGGGGTTTTGCCTTCCTCTGTAGCAGGGGGCATGGCCCTCTTCCTGGGATCTCCTAAGTGCATTTTAACAACCTTGCAACAGTGGGATGTTGGATGCTCTGGTCCTCCTGCATTTCCTGTGGCAGGTATAGGTGCCAGGCTTTATGGTTGTACAATAGGATTGACTGTGTAGTTTTACTAATAGGTTTGATAAGGATTTGTACAGGATGGATTGATTTGAACCTGAATGTCTGACTTCCCAGGTACAGTGCTTTAACCACCACACCATAGATTAGACATAATGCAGTCTATTCTGTCGTGGGGGGGTGGGGGGGGCAGCC